TTCCCGTAAACTAGTGATAGAAATCTATGCTTCTCTTTTGAAGCTTTATTAAAAGGGACTTATGAAGATTAATTTACATCCAAATTAATATAATTACATGCTGATTGAATTCAATGATTATCATTTATAGAATTTATCAAACTGAGAAATAGTCACTTGAAAATAAAATTATAGTGAATGATCAACGCTGATTGTTAACTGAACAAAAATCATCTTAGATCAATATGCAAATTTTAAGGTTGATTTTCTTCCTCATACATTGTGTATTTGGGGGTTTCACATTCTTAACATGGTATAATCTGGTTTGAAAATTTGTTAGGAAGCGTTGGTGGTTACTTTTATGGTTTTAAGGGTTATATGCAGTGTACTTATAATTATCTTATAGATTAAGAGCGGTTTAACGGAATTTGGCGTGTCCTAAATCTTATACAAATTAGATAAGTAAAAGCACTTCAGTTAGCAATTTACATATCACTGTTTTTACATTCTGTATTATTGATATATATAAGTGATCTATATAACTGCTATGTAAGTGAGAAATTCTGAGCGGTGACTAAGGAACGTTAATTGGTAAACATAATGAACAACATACAGATTATTGGTTTGTCGTTCAAACTTACACAAGGATATACAGGCTAGGACCTTAACTAAGTGTATAATTGAATTCATCCAATTACGCTACTTATCACCTTTAATCCTCTGTTTGGATTTGGGATGGTATGTGAGGACAGTCACGTTATTTTTCTAAGTTCGCTCAACCTATCATTACACTAAAATAATTAGTCATTGCATCCAAAAGCTAGTCTTCAAGAGTACTCTTCTGCAACTGTGTGTGACTAACTAACTTGGTATATTGCTGCTGAAGAGAAAAACAGACTCGGTGCATTATTACTTCTGAATTCAATCACTTAAAAGCTAGCTCCGTTTCTACTTGTCCATTCCGAAAACAGTTGATTATCTATTCCTGATTGTTAATATCTTTCGTGGGAAATGATTACAACTGAACAGTTACCATCATCTTGTTTAGTCTTTAATTGTAAAAACTCAATTCAATCTGTCGTGGTTTGGATTACCTCATTTTTACTATTCTTGACTGAATTTTATCTAGCCTTGGTTGGCATGTGTGCATCTTGTGAGTATCTCATCGACGTAGTTCTTACGTCACAAGATTTTATAAAACATGTAGGATGTGGCTAACACTGAAATCCAGTACTCTTGTTCTGTTTTATTCGTGACTCGTGAGCTAGATGTGTCTGCGTCCCAGTCTTGATGTTTACACCAAACTAAGTAGACCACGCCATGGGCGTTTAAAGGAAAAGATGTTGGGTTCGAGTTCCCTTTTGGGCATCATCACAGACACATCCAGTTTACGAGTCCCGAATAGGTGGATGTGTGTATCCTGAATTGCCTCTGTAAGTTCTGTGTTTTCTGAGAAACGGGTTGATAAAACCAGTGGTTTTTTGAAAATAATATTCTTTATTTTATTATCATATGAAAATTTCATAATAGGATCATAGATATGTAGGTTATTTTCATCCAAAACGTGTGACACGTGTGTAAACCTTTGATTAGGTGAATTATCAACGATAAAGATCAGTTTCTTGTATTGTGGCGTGTGCTACGTATACGGACAGATATAAGAAGTGTGTATCAGGAATCGGAAGGTGCATTCCTACTGACGGAAGAGAAAGGAAAACAAAAGCAGTCGGAGTAGTAACAGGAATTGAAAAATGATGGGGTTTGTAAGAAAAAATATGACGATGTTCAAATGGTGTATTCAATGTGTTGTTTTCATACTTTGCTAATGCAGTGTGTGATGTTGATTAACACAATAGATTGGCTTACCCTATCCAAGTCTGTTCATTACAGTATTATCTCATAAATATCTTGTTCAGATTAAATTGATAATCTTCCAATTTTTACGCAAGTTCTTTAGTTTTTATTTTCAACGACTATTATTAATGTGAATTATGATAAAATTCATAAAAAGAATTCCTATTGTTAAATCGAATCCCAAATGATGAACAAAATACACTTGGACAGTCACCAATATGAAAATGATATCACTTGCCATAGGAATTATGGTTATTCTCTGTGTCTTTTGGTAACGACATCACTTTCTTGGTGCCTTACATGTAGATAACAGGTGACATCAATACAATTCAAAATAGTTTTCATCAAATCTTTAAACAGCGCTTGTGTATTTTATCGTTAAAACATTTTCGGGTTGAAAATTCCATGTATTCTCATTCTTGTTGACTTTCGGTATTTTCTTGTGAATAACAAAATTAAACATGAATCATGTATCAGATGCAAATTCGTGTACTTAGTTTTAAGCCACACTTTATTTTACAGGAGCCAGTGATATTATGCAGTTAATTAACCACATCAAAGTAGGTGAAACAAGAGACTCAAATCTATAACTCAGCAGTCGACAGATAAGCGCTTCAGTCGGTAAACCACCTCTCTTTTAGTGAATTTCTCACTTGTTTCGTTTATATATATATTTTTTATTTTTAAAAAATGAATAGTTAGATCAGAAGCATTTTAAATTTGTGTGAATTAGTATTTGGACTTGTGTGTGATTCCATGTTGAATAACTCTCAATAACTAGCATAGTTAGTTAGTTATCAAAGAGGCATTGGTATGTTAATGGATATTATTCTCTGGTTCTAATCACTGATTAGTCTTTTTTCAAGGTATGTTATACAATAACTAATCATCATAATGCAATACTATGTACTTTTTCATAATGCATGAACCAAAAGAATCTTACAGTAGGTCGAATTTATAGCATCTAATTTCTATATCTTGAAGCACACTGAACAATACCACGTGCCAAGTCACCAGTCAGAATTCTAGTTCATTCTGTTATCTACTCAATAGCTTAGTGTCTTTGACCTGACCAATTACACGCTCGACCAGCACCATTGACCCTAAGACGGCAGCCAGGCTCCTATCGGTCCACTACTAATTAGCTCCCATCTATGCTCAATCTTGAGTCCAGAAGTAACAACTAGTTTTTACTATCAGTCAGACGAGGTTTATATACAGACATACCAGACTTCACATGGTAAATAAGAATGAAACACGAATAAACCAAAAAGTGGTCATGAGTAAGGGAGATTTTAAGTGATAGACTGGCAACAAGTAGTAAATCGTGTAACCGTAGTCAACAAATTAACTGAAAGCTCACGATAAATAGAATACATATACATAGTAATCTAGTTACTCGGTGATTATACAGCGAAATTACAATTAATCATAATTCGAAAAACCAATTTAAGCTTTTCTAATATTCGTTCCGTTATAACGCCTGATAAGCTCAGTTTTGTTTTGTTTTTTACAGTGAATGTCAACATTTCACATCATCACTTTGAAAGAACTTGGCATATCTTATGTTTAAAACTTTACACTGTTGACTAATCATCAAAACCGAACTTTATCAAGTCGACTTCTTCCAGCTACTGAATATCAACATATTTATTGTTTAGTTACCACAACTCCTACTCACTTTTTTTAGAAAGAAAGTCCTCTTTAATTTTTTTCTCTGCTAGCGTTGTTTTCATTCCTAATTAACTCAATATAACAAACATAGAACCTGATCATTTCATTGATGGTCTTTTATTTTACAACAAATCATTTTTCGATTTAATTAAGATAGACCAATAAATCCAAATCTATAATAATAAATTAACCTTTCATATAATTCTTCAATTATTGATGAATGAATAAATATTTAATTAACTAAAATTTAAATAGACGCCTAATTTGATAAATTTATTATCAAGAGTTTTGTGGAGATTTTAGAAATTTCACTGATTGAAATCATGAGTCAATTGAAGCTAGACCACCATGGAAAACCTGGAAGCACTGGACGACCGTTTCGTTCTGGTATGGGACTTCTCAGCAGTGCGCATCCACGATCCCGCGAGTCCATGCACCTTAGTCTTGATGTCCGCATCGGCTCTTGAACCCAGCACATTTCGACTTAAAAGATGTGTTTTCCGATGAGATACCAAATCCATATAACCACTAAACCGTTCAAGGTGAATGGTGTTTGTACCATTATTAGTGTTTGAATTATCCAATTGTCGACATTCAGGACAAGATGAATCACACCAAGCCAATCAGCACAGGATGCACAATGTCAACAGACCCAACATTCAGTCCTAAATACCAGCAATGGGATAATTCAAACCCCTATCAATAAACTTATTCATAGTTGTTAGGATAAAATAACACTTGGTTATGGATTAATTTGGGGTGACATTCTTCTAAGATAGGAACCACTGAGTGAGCAACGCTGAGGTTAGGGTACTAAGTAAAGATGATAAATAAGTCGAAGAGCTAGTGAAACTGCACCAACTGGAGTGGCTGGATTATGTACCACATATTCCAAATCACTGCCTACCTCAACGGGCGTTTTCTGATGTAGGCTGGAAGAAAGCTAGGGGTGGCCAAACCAAAACATGTCAACAGTCCATTATGTCACTGACAATCGGGCTCAGAAAAATTAATACGTGGAGACTAACTATTTCAAGTCCGCATAAATACTGTAACCAAAGGTCATACTTTGGGAAAAGTCTTAGAATTGTGTTCAATGGCATTGGTGCATTCACTCCTTGTCTTCCTTTTGAAACCAAATCAAAAAATCCCTTCATACATTTTGTTTTTTATACTTCATCTTCCCTACTGCTACTACCAATATTATTACTACTTCTACTACTCTGGGATTTATCTTGAAATAATTTCATCTCACTATACTAAAGTAGTATATCAACTTGAATCGATGTATATGTGTTACATTTTATGTGGTAGTTCTGGGTTATAATTATTAAATTTAGTTTTGATATCTAATAAATATTTTACAGCGATCATTTTTATTTTCCTTCTTATAACAAGTCGAATTAATTTTATTCCTGTCATAAAAAGATATTGAAATTCTTTGGAACTCCATTGATACCTAACTTTAAAATGAATAAATTTATATCAATAATTTAGGCAAAAACAAAACGAGTATTTTATTTTTTTCAATAATAATATACATAATACAAACAGGAAGGTGAACAGATCATAAATATTCAATTATTAACATTTCAGTTTAATTATCTGACTTTGAAAATTTTGTATACTGACTTCACATTTACCTTTCTCATCATAATCACACCAAATCTGGAAACAAGAAAAGGAATTAATGAGTGAATGCAAACACAATAACAGTAATAAATGTCAAAAACGTAATTATTTCTTTAATTTCATAAGTTTATGTATTAATTTCAAAATTCCCATAGAGTATTTATAAAGACAAGGAGTATTAGAGTGAACAATAACTATCATTAGGCTTTACACAGTTATCAATCTGAAATTATCATTTCTTTTTTGTTACAATATATTATTGGTTAGAACTCGTCAGTTTAATCAAGCCCTAATTTTCCTTACCTTTTATTTATAATCTTTGCTCAACATTAACAATGATGTTACTTTGTTTTGTCAGTAATTTGTATCATTTAAGACTCAATAGACACGAAGTTTGGTATTTTCAATTTATAACATGGATTAATCCAACTTTGATATTTTGTCTATTGTGACACAAAAATGATCAGTTTTGGATTTATAACTGAGTAGAGACTGATGAAAAAATTATTGGAAACTATAATTCCCTTAAATAATTTTTTCTTTTTTACAAGTTAATTGTTTTGCTGTCAATTTGCAATTACTTTTCGTTTTAATTTAGATTAGTTTGGAAATATCATACAGACCTAAACTGATGGTTTAAAAGTTAGCATTTTCGGTAAACCGGTGATCCAAAAGTTAGGGTCTCCTACTTTTAACCATTACGCCACAGGTTCTAACCTCATCACATCTACTTCAGTTTCGGTAACCAGATAGTATCACCAGCCCTTACGCTTAAAATCTGCCTAATAGTCAAGTATACGGATTTGTACTTAGCAAATGAGTTAATAAACAGTCATTCTTGGTTCAATCTTAGTTCTTAGAGGCAAGTGTTACCAGCGAAGAGTCCTTGAAAGCTTTAAAACAAGTAACGCCTAACACTTGTAGATTGTCACTGTTGTCACCTTATAACATACCAGAATTTTTATGTTTTACACAAATGAAAGTGTACCCGATTAATAGTCATCAAGTAGAAATTTCAAAATCATTTGAAGTATTTTAGTGTGGGAGACTATCTGGTGTTTTTTCACTGATAGGCAATAAGTTCTTCATCTAAGACAGTGAACACTGAAGCCAACCTCATAAATATATGATAGTCATTCACAAGAAATATCTTGCTGCTACGTAGCGATTGGCGTGAATTTACTGTCGTTCTAAATTTACTTCGTATGTTTTTATCGTTCTTAACTCAGCGGCATAGAAGAATCCTATATTAAATAATAATCACCATTGTGTCATACTGTCACTTCCATTATGCTTCAAAATAAGCTTACGACGAAATATGACTTTTGTGGATGGAGTATGTTCAGGGCATTATTTATTCATTAATAGTATATGAAAACCTTTGGTACATATCGCCAAAACAAAACGGGTCACACAACAAGTACTTTAAGCTACCTTTGGACACTAAGTAACAATATCTTTGTAGAGATGTGATGAATAAGGTTTCTGATCAACGATGGACATTTCGATGAGTAATCAAACTGAAATTCGGTGTAATAACTTAGTTTTTTTTCATATTTTTGTCCACAATTAACTATCTTACAACGATAATGATAAAATGTGAAACTTTAGGTGCACTTTATATCTTATTACAGACATAAATATCACCACGATTATGAGGTAGATATTAAATGATCGAAGTAAAAAACGACAGGTATCCAATCTCATAAAGTATTGGTGAGTTTAAAATTAGGTAGACTAGGTACTTGTATAAAACATTAACTACATAGCTACGGCATAAAAACATTTTTCAATGTTGCTCATAAGGTATACAGGATTATTTGCACAAATTAAGATGCAAATTAGTTAACCTGAAGCTGTAATCATGAACTCGATAAAATCACCATATAACACGTTAAGTGCTGATGGATGAAATTTAGAGTAAACAGGGTAGAAAATCACGAATAATGAAATAAGAATGTAAGATTAGAGAGTAAATTTAGAACGTACACTGGTTCATTTAAATACAGTCAAAAACTGTTATTAAACTTTTATTACAAGCAGTGCTACGGAACGAAATGAACTGGGAATGTGGTTAGATGCATAAAAAACGTGAGCTTAATATTTTTACATTGTCCGTAAGTTAAGGGTCCGTTTTTAGTGAATACGAACTATTTACGTCCATCAGATTAGAAATTACACGTAAATAAGTGATTGATCTAAGAAATAATCAAGAAATTAACTACATGCGGTACAGAACTATAGTCAACTGAAGTAACAATAGCAGACATACGTGTTTACACAACGTGCAACTCACCGTAGCTACCAGCAAAACTAAAGTTGTTGCTACTCTTTGAGGCGAGTAGGCAATCAACATGGAAACAGTAGTACATACAAAAACATTTGATGTTTACAGACAGTTATAGTGGGGATAGTGGACCTAGTAACATGTTAATAAACTTTATAATAAATAATTAGGATCATTTTCATTGGTATTGGAACTAAATATAACATTAATTGCTCTGTACTGTTTTACCTCATCTGTTAATGAGATGTCATCAAAAACCGCATCAGAGTTGACACTTGAAGCAGACCAACCACAACGAGGAGAAAACTCAGTAAATTCTAAACCACGACAGTCAAATTTTGCAATGGTTTTGAAATGACCAGAATCGTCAAGTGAGTATGGAAGTATGCTACCAGGAATAATATCTGAAATTTGGGAACATGGAAACAACCTGTCTTAATGACTGCAGTTTTATACATAAAAAATGTTAGTCTGTATTATACTAAATGCAAAATAGGCGGTAAATGCCCGCTTAAATGATTGAGCAAAAAGCAGATCTATTTATTTAATAAGCATTTACCGGCCCAAGATTCGAGATGTTTCGTTGGTCCTTAATTAAAATTGTGAGTTGAGAACAAACTAACCAAACTTTATGGAAGCCGGTAGTCATATTGCATACACCTGGCGGTATTTGCAAAGTTTAACTGGCTTAAAAGATTTAGAAAACCAGGTTAGTATTTCAGACTTGTAAAACGATGACTTAGTGGTTATAGTACATGATTTGTAACTGGGTGCCTTTGCATACAAACATATTTTTAATAACATCAATCGGAGTGTTACTAACACTTACGTATTGCGATTCAAGGCTGAATAAATGGATATTTACATGATTAATGAGTTGCTTTACTTTCTCTGGAAAGGCTGTTGACTACAAAACAATGAGTTGTGGCTTCAAAATCTATTTCGTCTATTCAGCAGAATTTCAGGAATCCAGCAGTACAACTACGCTAGTTACCAAAAACGTAGCAACAACTGTAAGAAAAATAAAGGGCTTAACAGCACTGCTTTATGTTTTATCATGTTTGGACTTACGCTACATGTAATTTTTAAAAGAAACATTTCCTGTTACAACAAGCCCCATTGACATCACGAAGTCATGTCTATATTCAAGTCATCATAAAATTTAGTCTCTGAGTCGATTTTTGGTCATAGCTTGGCACAAGTGTGGATAGGGTTGTTGTGGATTCCAGAATAACTGAATAAATCACTAAAGTTAAAAACTACTACGTAATTTACATGTGCATAACATTTACGTGGGATAGGGTCGGAGTGCTAACATTAAAAGCTTATAAGATTTCACTATCAACTCAATGGAACGATTTATTAAAAACTATGGTACGGTGGTCTAAGTGAAAAATGACAAGAAATGTGTACTGTGGTAGCCATCCGCCAAGTCGCTTTACAATAAGTATTTACGTGGACCACAAGTGGAACAAGCCGATGAGCTTTTGCTGGGACGTAAGTTCCACTCAGCAATAAGCAGTCAGTGAATTATAAACCTCTTTTTGAATCTCATGTCTTGAAGTTTGAAAGATGCACAACATATAAAAAGACTGCATACCAGCATTTGAAACTCGTTTACAAAATTTACACCGGATTACTAAATTCGCATCCCCGCGACTGTCTTGAATTGCTGTTTTTTCCTGAAATTATTAGAGCACATGGGCTCGCCAACTTACTACACTGTTAATGTATACGTAATCATGAGTATTTTCGCCGCAGTTCCCGCACTTTACCTACTCGTTGTCAGGTCGAGATCATAATTCGAACGTTCGTACCTTTAAATACCAACGAAAATCATCACATGAAGGACTTAGATTAGTGACATTCGTAAGTTCACAACTAATTTGCACACCAAGTAGCTTAGAGATGCTATTATTCGGTTTATTAAGACTTACTACCATTAGTATTTTTGGAACAATTGGGCTGGTAAGATGTTCGATAAGGATTCAGTCACAAATAGCTTTGATCAGTATACGTATTTCACCGAGAGTGAAGCAAAACGAGTATTAACAAAATCAAAAATGACCTTGACTACCTCAAACTCCCTCCTGATTAAAAATTATTCTTGAACAGAATTTTTTACTCAGGCTTATGTGAAAAGAAGAACACTTAGCACGTTAGAATGATTTTGCATGGTAATACGCGAAGTGGATGCTTTATTCGGGAGCGGCGTTTTTCTGATTATTATTTGATTAATCAAGATGTTTTAGTATAAGAAAACATGTAGAGGAAAGTTTGTCAAATTAATTTATGTTCCCTGGAAGATCGAAGGTTTTCGCCTGAGTGACTCCGCAAAATTTTATTGAGCCACTCCGGGATATGTACGAGTTCAGTAGTTGATTACTTTCAAGTAGTAGAAAACAAATATACAGCCTAACCTGATATCCTCGGCCTCAGGGTAGCGAATGCTGCTCTGAACTTTGGTGTTGTGACTGAATTTTATTGCCCTCTACAGGATATAACCATCTTCCGAACCCTTGATATATAGGCAGTTTCCATATTGTATGTTCCAAGACAGTAGTAGTACAACTCTATGTTTCTCACATCCTTATTCAAATGGATACCGTATTTCCCTGATGGTGCATGAACTCAATCTCAACATAAAATGTACACTTCAACAAAAATTGTTGACAAAGCGAGGAGGAACGATCGAAGACTTTTAACAGTTAAGCTCAAGCGGGCGAAAATTAGTGTGTTTTATCAAGTGAAGTAGTCTAAAAACTTTTGTTGTGAAGATGACACAGGTATTCAGTGTTTGACAACGCTTATACCACTAACACCTAATATAATTTGTACCCACCAAGAGAAATCAAAAAACAGAGTCGAGGAGATCGGAAGAGTGTATTCGGCGATAACCAATATATCGCAATTCTCTGATCTAATCTGGCCAGAGACTGCGGTAGATGTTGAGCACAGCGTTACCACACGTGATCTGGTGCGGATGCTTGACCGAGCGCCTTCAGCTAGATGAGTCCACTAAAACATATGGTCAGCATCCAATGTCGAAAACTTACAGAGCAATTTATTTTGAGGATTTATTTGCCGCTACAGTTGACATTTACAGCATATGTAAAACAGGTGCTGTAAGTATAGGTGTTCGGTCTGTGTTCAAACATAATATTATCAAGCCTAATCTCACAACAGTCAACTAAATAAGCTGTAACTATCTTTACAAGTAAAGTCTTCTTCTGGGATAGCAATACTGTATACGTTTCGCCGTAGAGATTCATAATCAAATTCAAGGGGCTTTTTGTAGGACCTATATTAATCGCTGCCATAGAAATTTCTAGGTGCTGGTCACTATATAGAAAATACCGACTTTTATTCAGATATTTAGGCCTTATTATTCTGACCACATCGGCTTCTCTCCGACTACATGGAAAACTGTTAAACAGTCATATTACTTAATGTCTATTTGTAGAACACTTCGACAGTTTTCGCTTCGTAACGAAAGACCGCGAACTTGTATTATTAGCTCCTAACCACACAATGATCCCAAACAAGATCATATCCATACGATCCCACGAGAGTGTTCAGTTTTACGTGTGTGATGGCGAATGCAAGTGTGATTGGTCAGAAAGTATGGACAAACATGTTTTCAACCTTGTGAATCTCTTTCTTTGTATCGATTACAGTTTTGAACACACTGATAGTGACTGCTTGGATTTGTTTGGAATAAACGTAAACATTTTGAGTTATTGTGGTGTTTGAACGAACTAATGATTCTTTTGTACTTGTTGATTGCTTGATTTAAAATTCCAAATACTATACGTACTATACGTACGTTTGTCCTTTTGTCTTAATTCTTGATTCAATTGCGTTATTTCTGAGATTCCTAGTTTGTACTATAATTCAAATATTATACTGGCGTCGCGAAGGAGCCTGCGATTGAGAAGTTAGATATTGATTCAACTTCTGAGACTTTTGAGGATTACTTTGAAAGGTTCGAAATCTGGGTTATGACCAAGGAAGATGATGAGAATGTTAATATTGTGGCACATTTGTAGAATTATGGTCTACTATGATATTAGTACTGCTCTAATAATAAACCTAATCCTAAACTTGTCGATTTGTCATGATATAACTGCCTAATCTATAAGATCTTACGTGGAAGTCACACCATCGACTACACCAACTCACTGTATCGTATCAATTACCAATACATGATGAGGAACAAGGTTAGGCTAGAGAAAGAACAATATATTTAATATGAATAGAAGATATAAAGTAACACTGAGATGGACCACGTCTGCATGGACGAGCCATGCCACTCGATCAACTCCAGTCCATTCAATTCCTTGTTCGCGCCTTCTCCATTGTTAGGTATTTCTCCGCGTTAAATATTGAATATCTATTTTCTGAGTAGTCTCGTGTTCACAGCTTTGTGGATTGTGTGGCTATTGTCCAATGCCACTACACTACTCTCCCACCAGAATCAACGTGATGTTGGTTCGATACCAAATTGGATGGGATCGTCGCGCGCCGGAGGTTACCAAGGATAATAAGAATCCTTCGGGTATTGGTAAGCTGAAAGATAAATCAAAAAGAAAGCGGCAGCATCTGGTCGGGAAATACATGTAATAATTTTAACATATCTGCCTTCATGCTTAAAACGCTTGAAATGAAAATTTGGGTGAAGATTATTTGAACTATAAAAAATGAGATTATAATAATAATAATAATAATAAAACGATGCGTGTTAATAACTTAACTTATAGGTAGTAATTATTTTGTGTTTAGAAATATTAAAATAATGAATATTGTAGAAATGTTAATATTGGTATTAGTTTTGGTTTAAATTATGAAATCAGATAACGATTATGCCGGTAAGTTGTCCATATGAGTTGAATTCCAATTGCATCTGTATTAGTAGGCTAACTGAAGGAACAAAAGTATACCGTGGAGAAGATTTCCAACTAGTGTTCCAGTTAGTTTGATACGGTTTATTTAGTTACGGGGAGATTTTCTCAACCTCATTTTTACTTGACCGTGATAGAATTTAGTAATACTACTAATACACATGAATGGTTATCAAAATAAAATTTAAATACATGAGTGATAATTATATGAATTTTGGACAGATAGCTAGGAACAAATTGTTAAACATGAGTGTATTCGTAAGAGACATGCTCTAGACTCAATGTTCTGATCTGTGGCAGACTATTTATTTGTATTTATACTTGCCGGCTGATTGGGCATACAAGTTAGTTGCAAGTATGCAGTTTATTATAAGTCGGAATACGATTTAATTGAGATATAGTGGTTATAAGTTATTAAAATCAGTTAAGCCTATGGGTCATATTACGAAGTGATGTGGTGCTGCAAGATGTATTTAGCTAAATAAGTTTTTACAAGATGATTAATAGTGAGTGATGCTCATGTGATTATCAGGGAGAACATAAGTTGTAACCAGGGGGAGTACACTCCCAACTCATGTCTATGATAATGGCTTGAACCTTAGTCAGTGTTGGGGTAAATTCGACATTGATGTTTTCAGTTTGCAGGAGATTTGCTCGACTGCTTATACTGATTATTTGCATGCATGATTGTGTCGCTAAACCTCCAATTAGACTGACAAGGTTTTGAGATATTTACTGAATAAGCAACTGATAGAGAAACATACTGTAATCATCTGTAGTGAATGAAGATAAAAGAAAAAACAACACTAGTGATAATTATAAGTCAATTTGCTGACCCATTTTGTTAATAGTTTCATTAATTTTATCAATCATATTACGTGATTGTCAAGTCATGACAATGCTTTATGACGATATCCTGGAACTATTATGTTTAACTAGTTATAGTGTTGATTGAGGATTAGCCAGTGGAAAAATAGGTATTGTTGCTTTAGGTGATTCAAAATTATCAGAAATTTGTAGTGTTACAGAATTCGAGACGCCTAATTATATTATAATTTTCAATTCAAAAATATTCGTTTAGTGGTAATTTTAGTAGGCTACGGAGTTTTGATTTTAAACGTTTGTTTAGTCAACAGCTACCTGGGGATTTAGTTATTTGACTAGTACCGTTGATAGTACCTAAATTTTTAATCTTATTGTCTAAAGTATGTTTGCATTTTAGGCTGCTACTATGATAAACCAATCCATAAACCCAAATATGATTAGCAACAACGACTATGGTGGGTTTATTGATAAATGTTAAAGGCGATTCAGATGATTTCTAAATTCAAAAGATATGAAGATATAGTGTAACGTATGTACGGGCCACGTTAACATGCAGGTTGTTGACGTATATAAAAATTTAAAAATAATGAACATGACCAGGAAAAGTAATTTTAAAGTCAAGACTGCTTATGAAACTTCAGGCAAGAATGTAACGCGTTATAAACATTCCATAAGAAGTTACTGCATTTAGCCTAGTGACACTTACAAATATGTGGCAAAAGCAACTGGAAAGCATATACATGTTAAGTACAAAAAATCATTAAGTAAAATAGTTGAACTCGCCTGGATTATTTTTGAAAATTATATTATCCAGTGGACGACATATATAACGCCATTCGTGAGGAGTAGTAATGATCCAAAAGTATCCAGGATAAAACATGCAGTATGGCAATTAATTCCAGAGTCCTTGATGCTGTTGACGTTTTTGCCACTCGCTCGGATCAGAACAACCGAATGAATCTAGATAATTGTGCGGTCACCATTGAACGAGCCATCTAAAATGACCTTATGATTGCAGAAAACTTATGGCTGAAACTCACCGTATGTTTTTAGAGAAGTGTCATCCTTGTTGTTTGGCAATGGAACTCGAAAATTTGAAATTAGGCAGGCAGTGGTCGGAAGAAAAGATATTACAGGATAGTGCATAGTTTAAAACAGGATGAGGTATTAAGCGAAGGAACACAGAATTAGATCCAGATAACTATTCAATCCTTGGTTGCATTGTTAGTCAATGTATATTTACGCTATTTACAGGTCATATTTGCTAGAGCTTGATGTTTAAACAAGATTATATCGCTGAAGCATGTAAATGCTACTAAAGCTTGTTAACGAACCATCAAAGCTAATTAGTTATTTTAGACGACCA